GTCCCAAGTCCAGCGGAGTTTTCTCGCTTGGTTGCACCTTCGAATTTGTGGTATGTTCCAACGATGTGGCGCAATTGATGACTTGCCCTGAAGGCCTGGTCTTTAATGCGGCTAAAGGATTCTGTGACCACAAAGAGAAGTGTCAAGAGGGAATGCCGGTAATAAAAATGCAGCTATATGCAGCAGGCTGAAGCACTTAATAGGTAAAACTTTGAAATTTGATATGGTCTAGGGAAAATCCGAGGCAAATGCTACTAGACCGTCTAAAGATGAACATAGTCTTTCTGAAATTTCGAAAGGTGGGTGAATGTATTTGTCTACACTGATCGAGTGAATAGTAGTAGCGATTTAGAATGCGAGAATCTGCCCGACGGCAAGTTTGGATCACAATGCGGTTCGACATTTGTTGTCTGTGCGAACGGTGTCGCATATACAATGAGCTGTCCTTCGGATTTGGTTTTTGACGCGAAAACAAATCGCTGCGTCTATCCTGAAGAATGCGGTGGAAAAGACGTTGGACGAAGTCCTGTGAATACTACGACCCCAGCTTATACACAAACTTCCCGCGATGGTTGGTTTTTAGATGAGGATATCACTACGGTACGGAGTAATTATAATTTACTTCAGATTGTGTTGGTAAACCTGATGGTCTTCACTCTCTGGGATGCATTAGCGAGTTCCTGCAGTGCGTCGATGGCAAGGCGTACAGCCTGCACTGCCCGGCGGGTCTAGTATTTATCGAACGAATCAGCGCCTGTGACGAACCCTCTGCATGCAAGCAGTTGCCAAAACCAGAAAACATAAGCGGGCCTCTTCCATATGAGCCCATTGTGAGCTCTCGACCAGGAGCGGATGACACAAGTACGATTCAAGGGCAATTGTATCAAACTCGTCCACTCCATTATTTGTTACAGGATGCGAAGCTAAGGGGTACTTTGCCCATTTCTGTGCCGCAGAGTTCTTCAACTGTGTACACGGCAGGACATTCGTCGGCAAGTGTCCTGCTGGTCTGGTATTCAATCATCGCAAAGCTGCCTGTGATTATGCAGAGAATTGTGCCAACATCGCAGTGGACGAGCCAAAACCATCTGTAACGCAACCAGTTCCAAATACCGAAATCAATCGAGGTTTACCTGGTATAAAACTTCTTCAAAATGCCTTTAAAGGTCTTCATTTCCAGACATTTCGTGCAAGGATCGACCAGATGGAGTGATTACCGACGTGGACTGTCAGCAACAGTTCACTACCTGCCTCAGTGGTACAGCTTACATCACAAAGTGCCCCTCTGGCCTCGTATACTCAGTAACAGCAAAATTGTTAGTGCCGTTTCCTTTTGGGATTTAGCTAAGCAGATAAAACCGAGTGCTCAGGTGCGATTATCCAGAAACGTGC